CAAAAAAAAAATCAACCCACAATAGAATGAGATACAAACAAGGGCAAAATTCCATCCCATGGTTGACAAAATTTACCCCAAAAGGAGGGGAGAAATTGAGGCAAAATAGTTCAATACATCCATTTTCCAGACAGGACTCTGCAGCAGTTACAATGCTTCCAAATAAGGAACAAAATGTGCCTATTGATACAATATATACAGACAAGATCTATCAGAACCCAGTCCTTCCCCTTTCTTAAACATGTTTTAGAACACACCAAAGTGCATTTATTTTTATAAAGCATCTTTTTTCTTTTCCCCAAACCTAAGTTTTCTAAATTGTCTTGCAAGTCTGGATTCCATTTGTTATGCAATTCTGAAAATAAATTACAGCAATATTTTAATAAATTAAACACATGCATACAAAAAAGGCAAATTGGATCAAAACAGAATCAGGAAACATCGTACAATGCAGTGAAATTGTACTTTGTGAAATGAACTTCGTTGGGTGTCATAAGCAAGATTTTGAGTCACACTGAACTTGAGTGCATATATGGTCAGCTTTTTGTGTGTTGTGGCTGAGGCATACATATTAAATTTTGTGTTTTAAATCAGTTCACAGATTTGTGTTGGCAGTTTTATGAGCACTTTTATTTTAGGTCATAAAAAACTGTAACGATTGGTCCCTGTAATTGACATTATTACATGACCTGTTTTTGAATGAATGTCATACAACCTTATTAACTATAATGCACTCTAATATCCATAGATCCCAGAGACTATTTGTAAAATGTTTATTGTCTCCAAATAAAATGAATGACATAGAACTTATATTAGTGAATCTGCAACATCTATACTCCATTTATTTATTAGATCAGCCCCCTCTAAGTTGGGGCCTCCTAGGAGATTACTATCATCCCCAAATGGAATAATTTGGAATGGAATGAACTCAAGCTGATCTAATCAGGAAAGGCTGAATTAGGTCCTAAATCACTTCCAAATGGAATTAGTTAATCAATAGTTACCAGCCAAGAGCACTGATAAACCTGGGTCTTTGTGTATTCCAACTATTATATAAGTATTTAATAAACTATAAGAATGGAGTAAATTCATTGCAGATGTGAAGCTAAATAAAGCAGTTTCAGTTTGAAATCTGCAAAAAAAATAAAATCATGTATCTTGTAATCTAACTCCCAGAAGTAGGTCCTTACTTCATTTTAGTAAGGAGAGAAAATTACTTCATTGGCCAGAAACATAATATGAAGGGCAGTTGGTATCTGGGATTTATAAATAGGGATCACCCCTAATACTAAGCCATAATGTGGATTCTTTCCATTTCAGCTTAGCATCTTAGGGAGGCCAAGAATATATTTGTCAACCCTGGTTTATGGCTTGATATAATGCACAAATGGAGCCAGCTTGCTCACTTAAATATATACGGTATGTTTCAGACTATAAGACACTCCAAATTATAAGATGCACCTAGCTTTTGGAGAGGAAAACAAGAAAAAAAATCTGTCTCTGCCTCCCAGCGATTTGCCTCCTTGCAGCAAACAGCCTGTTTCAGCTTCAGCACAGCCTGATTGAGCACAAGCGGCTGATTGTCAGTTGGATCGGCCTCCCGATGATCAGTTGTTTCAGGCTGCAGGGATCGCCATCACCTATTGCCGCCTCCGTGTACCCCATTTTTGGCCTCCACATCCCGTTTTCAGCCTCTGCACCCCTCATTTTCAGCCTCTGCACGCCCAAGCCAAAAATGGGGCACACGGAGGCAGAAAATGGGATGCGAAGGCAGAAAATGGCACACGAGGAGGCAGCAATAGATGATCTCTGCAGCCTGAAACAACTGATCACCGGGAGGTTGATTCAACTGACAATCAGCTGTTTGTGCTCAATCAAACTGTGCTGAAGCTGACCTTGCTGTTTGCTGCAAGGAGGCAGAGGCTGAAGAGTGGGCGGGGCTTCAGCAATATTCGTTGTATAAGATGCACAGACATTTCCATCCACTTTTTTTGGGGGGAAGTGCATCTTCTACACCGAAAAATATGTTAGTTAAATGGAAACATGGCTTAGTGCAATGTATGAACCAGTGTAATGTTCAGCAGGTCATTCACCATTCCCATCCAGGAAACAAAACAGAAAAAGATCTAACAAGGCTATTTTAAAGGGACAAAAATCAATAAGCACTTTTGAAGAACAAAAATATTTCAAGCTCGGTATTTAACTATTGCATTGTGCATTCTTATTCATACAAAAGACTATCTCTCACCCAGGGCAAACAGTGTTACAATTTATTTTCACTCTGCATGATGTAGAGATCCATGAACCCCCTTTTAAAAATTCCTTTGGTAATATAAAATTTAAAGAATGAAGGCAACTTGAATTAATTTATTTTTATCATTTTTCAGGGAAGGAATATTATTTGTGCCACAATTTGAAAAAGAAGGGGGAAAAAAAGGAAAGGACAGGAAAGGAAATAATCTGTTGAGATCCCACTTCAAAATAATATATTTAAGAAAAAAGTATCCATAAAACTAGGTACAATTTCAAATGTCGCCAATTCATTCTTGGTTAGTAGTCCCTCCATCATCTTTTGTATGACCATTGTACTGATGTAGTATCACGTGTTACATCAGAAAAATGCCCAAGCAAAGGTTCAAAGGCAGATAACCCAAAAGACTTAACAGTGCAGGATTTAATTCTCTTGGTGTTAACATTCACCCAGTCATTCACACCTTTCAAACAGAATGAGATTCAAATAGGTTCCATAAGGAAGGTATTTAAAAAAAGAGACAAAGATATATTTTTTTCCACAGAAAAACATTACACCAGACCTAACATGGATGTAACAATGGCCAAAGGTGGCCAAAATGGCCCTCCAGGAGTTATTTACATGTGATTGGCCTTTGCTACTCAGTAGTCAGTAACACAATCTCAGAGAAGTTCAGTTCAACAAAATGGCAGATAGTCAGCAATAGAAAGTGAGCGCCCATCACTGGCACGTGGTTTGTGCGTGTCTGAATCAGATTTTAAGAAACATTTCCCCACCATCAAGGCAAGTGCAGACTTTAGGACTTTGGGACTTTTGATCTCAGCTCTTACCTAAACCATACATGAGGAAAACTCTAAGAAATCTCCAAGTGCACCCACCACACATCAAAGTAACTATGTCATTTTAAGCAAGAGATTTAATTTTAATTTTAAACAATTGAGCTGTAACTATGAGAATAGCTCATCTGTTATCCAAAGAGCCGGAAAGTTTTATGTGGGCAGCAGCAACATCTTGACTCTCTTTTGCTTATTTTCCCACAACTAAAATCCAGCGCATTTAAACACTCCCTTGCAGTCATATATTCTAAGGCATGAGAATTCACAGAAATCTTCAATATATTGTTATATTTGCAGTGTTATCATTTCATTTGAAAATATTCATCCAGGAAGAAGCTTTGGGGAGAATGAAAGGCTGTCTTCCTGGTTTAAGACTCCATACGACCTGGAATTTTTTTAACTTCAAGTAACAAGTCTTTTCAAGTATGCTTTTCTTTGATGCTAATTTGATACAGTCCCAAAATCTGTAGTACAGGTAGTCCTTGACCTATGACAATTGAGCTCCAAATTTCTTTTGATAAGTGAGACATTTGTTAAATGAGTTTTGCCTTATTTTATGACCTTTCTTGCCACAGTTGCTAAGTGAATCATCCCAGTTGATAAGTTAGTAACATGGATGTTAAGTTAATCTGGCGTCTCCATTGGTTTTGCTTGGCAAAAGGCTGCAAAAAGTAAATCACACGATCTTGGGACTCGGTAACTGTCGCAAATATGAGTCAATTGCCAAGCATCTGAATTTTGAACACATGATCATGAGGATGATAGAAAGGTCATAAGTATGAAAAAAGTCTCTTTTTTCAGTGTCATTGTAACTTTGAATGGTCACTAACTGAACTGTTATATGTCAAGGACTACCTGTATAGCCATGTGTTCTAAAATGGAGGCGGAAGGAAGAAGAGGAATACATTTTCTTCTAGTGTACCAGAAGGAGCTTCAAGAATGCAGCTTGTTCTATTATTAGAAGACAGGGATGTCAAACTCGATTTCATTGAGGGCCGCATCGGCGTTGTGTTTCACCTCGGGCGAACGAGGTGGGTGTGGCCAGGGTGGGTGTGGCCAGTTCAACGTCACTTATGTCAGAGGCACCTGTGGTGGCCCGAACACTCTGCCAGTGAAAATGGCTCCCAAGCTCCATTTTCAGCTGCAATGGCCTCCTGCAACCTTCTGCCAGCAAAAACGGAGCTTGGGAGGGGCATATGCAGCCATCCTGAGCCCCGTTTTCACTGGCAGAGGCAGCACAGGTCAGTCTTTCACTGTTTCCAGGTTGGGCCCGTGGGCTAGGCACCCTGCAGGCCAGATCCAGCTAAGCACCCTGCAGGCCAGATCCGGCCCTCTTAAGTTTGACACCCCTGTTATAAGATATATCCAAAAACTTCATAGGTGTACCTCTAGCACAAATATCCCGGCTCTGGGGAAGCCTATGGTGAGGCAATGAATATTCAGGAAAGCACTCCAATGGATCAGGGCCTCTTCAATTGACTTATTTCATAAACTTAAAAAATGGGCGATAAGAAACAAAGCTTCTTTGGGCATAGGATGCAGCTCAGTGGATGTCGGTCAGTAAACCTAGCAACAATTAAGAAAGGGTTCAGAAAAAAAATCAGGAAAAGAACAACTGAGGGGATAAAGGGAAGAAGTGCTGCACAAATTCTGGGGTCTGTCTTGAAGCACAAATATTCCAAGGGGAGGAAGAGAGATGTAGCTTCCTCTAAAATCTGTTTAACATATACAATCATGCTTTTTTCCAAGACTTAGTTTTAAATAACAACTTATTAGCTGTCTACTTTAAACCTCCTGTGTATAAAGAGTCTAAAGATTTTATGGTTACAAAACTCTATCATCTGCCATAAGCAGGATGCAAAACTTCAAATTTCAGGGAATAGAGGCTAAATCCAAGACGTTCAAGAATATGAAACAAGCTTTTCAACCTAACAACAATAAATAAATTATAATAAATTATTAAATTACCACAGCTTTCAAAAATGTCAGCAAGAAATTTACACCAAGTACCTTAAACTACATATGCAGGAGACTTATTACATATAAAGAGGACAATGTATTTTGTAGATGTTGCACATACTTCTCAGTAATGGAGAGATGGTTTGAATTTTGCTCAGGCAAAATCTTGCTCTTCAAAATGAAGTTGGAAACTGCACACAATTCTTTCTTACAAAAAGTGATTTTCTGGGCTTAGAGAAAAAGTGAGGATCATGAATTTCTGCTCTTGACTTTTCATCCCAACCTCAAAGTAAGATAGGACTAAGGTGCTTCAAAATTTACCGCAGAAGATCCCAGAGGCCTTACTTTTTATTTAATAAGCCGCAACTTGTTTGCTGGCTTATCTAAGCCTAAGTGCTCTTGCTATCTTGGCTTTCCATTCTCGAGAAGGGCAATAGGATGAAACCCCATGTAAGACCAGGACTGACTTCAGCTGGTCATTTCTGCCTAAAGGGGATATACCAATGCTTTTACAACAGCATTGGTGAATTACAGTGTTAATAATAGCAGAAAGAAATGAAAAATAAAGTAAGTGGGAGAAATCTGTCCGTTTTCAATGGCTGATGGCCCCTGCAGTGGAAACCATCCACATTGCTACCCGTGTCCCATTTGCATTCAAACAGAAGGCAAAAGCAATTTTTCCCCAATCTGGCTAATTTTCCATTGCTTAATTAAACTTATATTCTGGTACCTCCCATCCCCCTGCACGCCCCCTCCTGCAAATGTTATCCAGCTTTTTTAAGTGAGGAAGAAGTTGTATTTCAGCTCTTCTTTGCCTCCCTGACTCAACTACCCAAATTCTGGTCTCCCAGAATCCCAAAGGTGGAATGGAACTGGGTGAATACGCGAAACCCAACCTACTGCAGGATCCACAATGCGGTCCCATGAGAGACAGGCGTCCAGCTTCAGCTGGCATACCTCCAGTAAAGAAAAGCTCAACCCTCCCAAAGCAACTGTTTTATACAGCTTGAACTCAAATGCATCTTGAGTTCAAACCCTTCTTACAAAAGCAGCATTCTTAAAGACACTGGAACCGGGGAGCAGGCTTTGCTCATAAAATCTTGGAGACCGTGGCAATTATCTGACCCTCCACATCCCCAAATGCCAAAAGGTAAACAAAAACATTAAACTGGCTCGCAATTCCCCATATGTTGGAAAACATGGAAAGAAAATAAAGCACCCCAAAAATAGAAATTTTGACAAGAAAAATAACATTCTTCATCCTTTCAGGAGCCTACAGTCCAGCTTCAGTGGATTCCAACTTCTTTTTGGAACCAGGTGAGGTCATGGTGCCCGTTTCTGTGCACAGTTGTGCTTCTGTTCAAGCCTGGGACTCTTTTCCGGAGGCCCAAGACAGCCAGAAAGGAAACACCAGGCGTCTTTTTCCAGTGCAACTTCCCCAGCTACAGGATACTGGTGACCCATTTCCTAATTTGGAGATGGGAAATAGAAAGATGGGCGGAGGGTAAAACCTCCCCCCCCATAAATTTAGACATAGTTAAGGACAAAAATGTAGCATTTCTTTCTTTTTGCATATCCAAGGTTGAATTATAATGCTAGATGTGCTCTGTATTTATAATAGGTCCCGGTGGGTTGGTTTTGAGTTCTAAAATTCAGTTTACTTTAAAATTCAAAATTCACATTCTAGCTCTTATAATTGTGAGCCCGTCAACATATCCAAAGTTACCAAGGGAAGCTTGCATTATACTGATTCAAGAAAAACTTTTGGTAAGAGAGGATTGGCTTCTGCTATGGAAAATGAGCAAATATAGGTTGTTCTCAAATAAGAACCATTCATTTAGTGTCTGTCCGAAGTTACAGTAGCACTTAAAAAGTAGCTTACTACCAGACCTCACATTTATAAGAGTTGCTGCATCCCCGCAGTCACATGATCAAAATTTAAGTCCTTGCTAATTAGCATGTCTTCACAAGGATTGAAGCATCTGGGGGTCGTATGATTGCTATTTGCGAACTTCCCAGTTGGCTTCCAACAAAGTTAACGGGAAGTTGGATTCACTTAACAACTGCAGTGATTTACTTAAGAAAGGTTGTAAAATCAGGCATGTCTCACTTAACATCTGCCTTGTTTTGCAAGGGGAATTCGGGTCTCAATTATTAAGTCAGTTGTTAAGTCGAGGACTACCTAGATATACAATTGTGTTTAACTATAGAGCTGAAACTATTTTTTTTTAAATGTAGAGTATATGCAAAGCTTCCAATACAGGATATGAAAGGACAATCAAACTAAAACCCTTTAAGAGAGATAGAGAGAGAGAAAAAAACAGGAATCTTCTAATTTACAACACCATATTACCATCAATGACAGCAGCATAACAGACAAGGACTCTCTTTACGTAGAGGAACCTGCTTCGTGTTTCTGTTTGGAAAACAGCTGGGCCTCCTTTAGTGAGAGATACACTTCCTCTTGAGGGTCATAGTAGTAGAACTTGCGAATGTATGCGATCAGAGGCCTGGTCAGGGAAGCGAAAAGAGGTTCCAGTAAATTGTGGAGGTCCAGGAAAGCAGAATGGATATTCCAAGTAAATAGACAGATGAATCTTTTTCTCTCTCTTTCAATTGGGGGGGGGGTTGTCCAGAAAAATTGAGTTTGCAGGACTCCTGATGTCTACAGATCCTTGTCTAACAAAACTTTGTGCAGAAATGTTTGAGTATATGAAAATGGCCAAGATCAACTGCATTCTACATTTGAACACGAGAGTTTGCGAAATGACTAATGAGATTTTAAAGGAAATAAATATTTAAAAAACTGAACTTTTTGGTGCTTGCAACATATATAGAGATGCCTGTCCTCTTTAGTTTCTGGTTCCCTTTCCTCAAGAAACTTATCGTCTCTCTCCTGCTTAGCTGGTTGTCATAACCCTTCTGAACATGTTTCAGCCCTGGTGTGGAATTTCTAACAATGTTTCACGGTGAAACAATGTCCGGACAACAATGTCAAAAGGGTCTCTTCCAAACCTGAACAGGACTTTTGAAGACTTCTGTTCTATGTATCCACTACCCTAGAACTTCTCCACTAATACAGAGAAACAATTCTAAAACATTTTTTTTATGTTGTGCCAAACTAATTGGCACTATTAATTTTACCATGAGGTGGACAAAGCAACAAATCTGATTCTTTACCTGACAGGACCTGAAAGGAGTACAAAGGAAAAGGGGGACCTACTTAGGAAGTGGGAGCTCTGCAATGTGATCGATGCGGACTAGCTGCCTTATCCGGAACCGGCAGAGATGCTGTAGCGACTTGACATTGCTGAACCTAGAGACTGGATAAAGAAGTTGGACAGGAGTTGGAGGGAGACCTGCAGATTAAAAATAAAAATAGGCAGGGCATCCGGTTAGAAGAAAACATAACAGCAATAATTCAGAAATAGTTTCTCAGAATAAGGGAAAACAGCAAACGTTGGAATCCTGCAGCTCTGCTCTCTAAATTGATCACTCTTCTGCCCTCTGGTGGAGACCTGACTCCATACAGCTTTATATTGAGCTGTACCATACTTATTGAGGGCTACAATAAACAAGGCCAGAAGCAAAAGGCTGGAGACCAGACAATTCCATTGCTATAACAAGGCAAAGGTGCTTCTCCCACTCAGAAAAAGTTCATTATGGTATTTGGATGTAAGAGAGAAGAAAGATTTAAATAGGAGTTACTATCATTAGGGCTTGAGGTGGTATTCAGCAGGTTCTGACCAGTTCTGCAGAACCGGTAGCAGACATTTTGAGTAGTTCAGAGAAGCGGCAAATACCACTTCTGATTGGCCCCGCCCCCATCTATTCTCTGCCTCCCGAGTCCCAGCTGTTTGATTGGGTCTTCCTTTGTTGTCCTGCATAGAATGGAGCTGGAAAGCAGTGGGGTGGGGAGGGGAGGGGATTTTGCAGTATCCTTCCCCTGCCACGCCCACCAAGCCACGCCCAACAGAACCGGTAGTAAAAAAATTTGAATCCCACCACTGCTTGAGTTTATTCAATTTGTATGCCCCATCTCAACAAGTGACTCTTAGCATTGAGAGCTTCCTGTGGCTTCCTGTTGTTGTTGTTGTTATAAACTTGTATTCATTAAACATGAAACTCAGCCAACTGAACATTTTAAAAAGTGTAACAAATATCATGGACTGGCGCTGATGGTTGATATGGGTTTCTGTCTATTATTATTATTATTATTATTATTATTATTATTGTTGTTGTTGTTGTTGTTGTTGTTGTAGTAGTAGTAGTAGTAGTAGTAGTAGTAGTAGTAGTAGTAGTAATATAGATTTAATCTTCAATTTGATTTGCAATCTGGGACTGGTAAAAGCTTAACAATTCAAATCCTAACCAAGGACTTGAGAGCTGTTAAGGTAACGTCTGAGTATACAGGCAGTTCCAAGTAAGGTGGGGGTTTTGATTTTTTTTTTTTGGCAAAAGCAGAATATTCAGGTCTAATAAGTTTAAATGTCCATGTCTCTAGGCAATCCTTTGGGTCTTGCTCCAAGGGCTCCTATTATTACTATTAGTATTATTTCTTCCTCCACAATCGCTCAATTTCAATTTGCAGATCATCGTATTTCGTTATTTTTTTCCAGTTGTATCTCTTCAATATGTGTACCACCTGGTATTGCAATATCAATGAAACAGGCTTTTTTCTTTTCCAGTAATGTCAGGTGTGTTGTGGGACAAATGTCTATGTGAAAGTCCCACAAGATCTTGATCTGTTCATTTTCAAGAACTTTGTCAATTTGGTGTTCCCAGTAATTTTTGCTATATTCAAACCCAAACTTCTGGCAAAACTTCCGATGTATAATTTTGGCAACTTAATCATGGCATTGTGGATAATAGTTTGGGAGATTTTATAGCAGCCAGTGATAAGGTGATCCATTGTTTCATCTTTCTTATTGCATAAAAGGCATTTGCTGTTGTTACTTACATGTTGTTGTTGTTGTTGTTGTTGTTATATTTTGATTCTTAAGTACAAGTAGTCCTTGACTTATAATCAACTGAGTCCAGAATTTATGTTGCTAAATGAGAAATTTGTTAAGTGAGTTTTGCCAATTTTACAATCTTTCTTGCCATATTAGTTAAGTGAATACTGCAGTTGTTAAATTAATAATAAGGTTTTTAAGTGAATTTGACTTTCCCATTGATTTTGCCTGCCAGAAGGTTGGAAAAGATGATCCCATGACCTTGGGACACTGCAGCCATCATAAATATGAACCAGTTGTCAAGCATCTGAATGTAAATCATGGGATCATGGGATGCTGCAATGTCATAAGTGTGAAAAAGTCACTTTTTTCCCAGTGCTGTTGGAACTTCGAACGGTTTTGAACTGTTTTAAGTCGACAACTTAAGTGTACAAAAAAATATTGGGATTCAGAGCATTTGAATTTTGCTAATTTCCCCTTGTACAATTCAAGTTCTTTTCAATTGTAAAACTTGCTTATTTGGTGCACCTTTCTCTAACTGAATAATCTGAGCTATGCACGATGTCAATTTTTATAGATGAATTGGAAGAGCAACTTTTGGATCAATGAATCACATATAATTTCTGTGTAAGAAGTTGTAGATTAATTCACTGCTATTTGGGGGAATTTCCACTCAAATGCAATGTAGCCAATTACCAAGGAGAATGAAAGTCGTAATCCAATGATTGAAGGGCCAAAAGTGCTTCATCCTCGGCTTATATTTCAGCCTTTGAAGCAAGTGAAGAAGAAACACTGTACTATTCCACATTCCCAACTTATCTTAACCAGCAGACCAGATGAAAATGTCCAATAGAAATGCATGTATGGCAATTATAGAATGGCTTTAGGAACAGGATAAACCAGATCTCCAAGTATACCTGAAGCACTTTTGCTTTACAATTCAATTCCATCTACTTAACTGTTGCCTGGAATAATTTCTTCTGGAAATCAGAGCATTCTGACCAATTCCTATTGGATATTTCAGAATAACTTTACTGTTTGGGGGATATATGTTTTTGCCAATAAAAGCTAAAAATAATTGCTGATCATTCTATATCTTGATTAATAAATGCCGCAACAAAATATATCTAAGAGCTGCCTGAGTCAACTCCAACACACACACACACACACACACACACACACACACACACACATACTTACCTGGCACTCTTGATCGCAGGAAATAAAGGAATTTTCCATTTTTGGAATGCATGATAGCACGTTTAATGAACTCCACCACAGATTGGCAACGGTCCTCAAATTTTGGATGGCACCAAAGACTAAAGGTTCCTGAGCCAAGAAGAAAGCAGTATATGGGTGGAAGTGCATGGTTTGTAGAGACTGGCTTTGCACAAGCTTACTTAAATAAAAGATAACCACCAGATACAATACTGGCATCGAAAGAGCCAGGTTTGGAAAATCACATTCCGCAATAATTCATTAAATGAACCTGGGCAAATCCTTCCCTTTCAAAATAAGTAGGAAGCCACCCTAATATGGTGCCCAGTGCTCCACTCACCTCGGTAATGCTCCATTCTGGTGTGATGGGTAATACCCTGTGATCGAAAGCTGAGGCTCAGAATGTAACGAGGATCAGAGCTATCACGAACCAGAAACGATCCATCCGGTTTCCCTTTTAACTTCATCTCAGCATCTTCCCAGTTCATAGGGCCCCAGTACCATCCACACTGATTTAAGAAAATATACATTCAGTAATTTTTCCCAAGAATCTGATTCCAACATTTAAATAAACAAACAAACATTGGAGCTCAGGATGCTAAAATACAGCCTAATTATCCAAGCAGATACCTGTTGTGGACCTGCCAGAACTTCAAGCCAGCATGGTAACTGGCAATCCCTCACTTTGAGCCAGAAGATTAACATCTGTCCATTCCTTGCAGATGACAAAAACACTAGCAATCATCTTTGACATTTTGAAACACAGCCTTCTATTTTTCAGAACAGATTTTTCTAATAAAGCAAAATTCATTTATTCAACATTGCCTGGTTCTCCCGTTAATTTATATTGAATATGCAAACTGATAGTGTACTAAACAGTAAAATAAACAGCAAAGCCATGTGTAGTTTATCCATTCAAACCAGTTTTCATCTTGCATATCAGGAGGACATATCCTGCAAATCCATTCAGTTGCCAATCCTCTTGGCTTTACCTCTTTGTGTTCAATGAGATCAAGTGTCATCATCAAGGGAGAAAAAAGCAGCTTAAGCACCTTAAATAAACAAACAAACAAACAAACAAATAAATAAACAACAGCCTTACTTTTTCCAACTCTCGTAAGCTAGCTGCAAAACTGCTTGAATCAGGCCGATAAAGGGGGCATTGAAGGTGCTGTGTAGATTGACTGTGTACCGCTTCAGATGCTCTGATTGGGAGTATCCGGGGAAACGCCTCTGGAAAAGGAAAGAAAATGTATTCCTTTTGACATTTCACGGAATTATTTTATGCATTCTGTGTTCTGTGGGTGCTGTCTTGAGTTCCCAAATTAAAGCCCAGCAACTGGCAACATTTTCCAATGGAAATTCAGGAAAAATGGAAAAGCAAAGCTAAACTGACCGGAGGCATGTGGTGGAGGCGGTGGAGGCAGAGGAAAAGACTGGAGCGACGAAGATCCCATCGGATTCACTAAGACAGATGCAGGCAGTGTCCCACTGATATCATCTAAAGCAAAAAAAAAAAAACCAAAAGGTTAAAGAAATATGAAAAGCAATTGAGCAAAAGACGGGCTTACGCTAGGCTCTCTCTTTCTCTCTGAGCATCTGAACATCCACCTTTGCTGGCTGTTTGCTTCAACATCAATAAAACTCTAAGCATAGAAAACACTTATGAAAGTTATTCAAACCTAGTTGCTGACTATTATGTTAAATGCCACCATTCAAAAAGAAATATTGTCAGTGCTGCTTCTTCTTACATCTGTCAACATATGCAACATATGATAAAAAATTATCCTGGATATTACATTACATTAGGTATTGGTATTGATATTGTATTTGTATACTATATATAATTAATATAATAATAATATAATAATATAATAATATAATATAATAAATATAATAAATATAATATAATATAATATAATATAATATAATAATATAATATAATA